TGAATTTGACACAGTGGATTCAGATAATCGCCACCACAATCAAGATAAAGAACATTTCCACTGCCACCCCAGCACTGTCTCACGCTGCCCCTCTGTAGCCACCTCCTCCTCCTGCCCCCTCAAACCTTGGGGCCTTCTGACCTGTTAGCCATCCTAATAAACCTGTGGTGGTGATTCATTGTCAATTTCTATTTCCCTACTGGCTAAGAAGGTTGAGTATTTTTAAATATATATTATTTGGAGGGCAGGTGGGGTGGCACAGTAGGTTTAAGCCATCCTTGGGATGCCTGTACTGCTCCATTTCCGATCCAGCTTCCTGTTCATGTGTTTGGAGGCAGCTGATGAAGACTCAAGTGCTTGGGCACCTGCCGCCCTGGGAGACCAGGAAGGAGTTCCAGGCTCTTAGCTCACCCTGGCTCAGCCCTGGCCGTTGCAGGTGTCTTGGGAGTGAACCAGTGGATAGAAGATCTCTCTTTCTCTCTCTCTTGTTCTGCCTTTCAAGTAGATGAAAGTAAGTAAACATTTAAAAAAAAGAATATTGAATGTATTTTGTAAAATATGTGTTTATTTTATTTATTTGCAAGGCGAGAGAGAGAGAGAGAGAATCATAGTCACTGGTTCACTTCCCAAATGTCTATGACAGCAGGGGCTGGGTCAGGCTGTAGCTAGAATCTGGGAGCTCATCCAGGTCTCTCACTTGGGTGATGAGAGCCTAATCGCTGGAGACATCGCAGCTGCCTTCCAGAGTCTGCCTTAGCAAGGGGCTGGAGTCAGGAGCTGGAGCGGGACTCGAACACGGGCACTATGTGGGATGTGGGCGTTAACCACTAGGCTACATGTCCTCTCCTGCCTAGTTTTGCGCTGGGCTGTTTATTTTCTTACTGTTGATCTTGAGTTGGTTGTGTATTCTGCATACACAGCCTTTGCTGGGTTTGTGATTTCCAGATGTTCTCTGTAATTACCTTGTCTTTGCAGTCTCTTAGCAGGCTCTTTTATGCTGTAAATATTTTTATTTGGACAAAGAAGGTTATTCCTGTTTTTATTGAGATGTGACTGACACACAGTGCAGTGTACGGCTGTTTAATGTATGGCTCGATGGGCGTTTGTACTTGTAATTGCCTGTTCAGCCGCCCTGCAGACAGGAGCACATCAGCCCACAACTTCCCTGGGCCCCCTTCCGCTCAAGAAGCAGCACCCTGGCCGCCCTGAAGCGGCCGCGCCCCGACTGCCATCACTCAGGCTGCTCTTGCCTAGGAATTTTCTATTTTCAAGGATTTATTTTATTTATTTAAAAAAGTTACAGAGGGAGGTAGAGAGAAAGAGAGGTCTTCCATCACTGGTTCACTCCCCAAATGGCTGCAACAGCTGGGGCCCGGTCAGGCAAAGCCAGGAGCTTCTTCCAAGTCTCCCATGTGGGTGCAGGGGTGCAAGCACTGGGGCCATCCCCCACTGCTTTCCCGGGTGCACTAGCCGGGAGCTGGGTCAGAAGTGGAGCAGCTGGGACCTGAACCGGTGCCCATGTGGGAAGTCGGTGCTGCAGGCCAGGGCTTTAACCTGCATTGCCACAGTGCTGGCCCCCGATTCCTCTCTGTTCCATGCATCCCCCCCCCATTACTCTGTAATTGCACCTCCATTCTTCCTCCAACCTTTTCCCATTCCTGCCACATCACAGCGCTGGCCCCTTGCCTGGAAAATTTCTAAGCACTGTGTTCCATGTTTTTTTGATCTTGGTTTGGTCTTGGGACCCAGAAGTCTTCCTGTCTTCTGGGGAGAGCTCCCGAGGCCCCTCTCCAGGTGTCACGCAGAGGCGGTGGGCAACGCTGGGCTGCTCAGCCTCTTGCTGCCTGACTCCCAGCAGGGCCCAGCAGTAGAAAATGACAGAAAGGGCTCTGGCACCCTAAAAATCCAGCCAAGTGCGAAGGGCATGGTCCCAGGAACCAGAAGACGCGGGTTCAGTCCCTCTCTCTGGCTTCTGTATTTTCCTGAACAACAGGAACAACAAAAGCCCACGTAAGCCTCTTGGGGCCCCAGCCACCTCCTGCATGCAGAGGGAGTGGTAGTATCCACTGTGGGTGTCAGGCCGGCTCCCAAGATGTGGGCCCCCTCTCCGGGTGCTTCACTCTCCCAACGACCTCTCAGCAATTAACCAGGCAGGGCTGTGGACTGACTTCGCAACTGACCACGTGTCCTTCTGCCAAGTGGCTGCCTAAACCCATGGAGGATTGGAGGCTGTTTGTTACTGAGGCCCAGCTTGGATGGTGTCCCTTACTGCGCAGATTCATTACTGAGTTTTTTTTTTTTTTTTTTTTTTTTGAAAGTCAGAGAGGCAGAGAGAGAGAGAAATCTTCCATCTGCTCGTTCACTCCCCAGTGGCCACATGGCTGGGGCTGTGCCAGGCTGAAGCCAGGAGCTTAATCCATGTCTCCACATGGGTACAAGAGCATAAGCCCTTGGACCATCCTTCATTGCTTTCTCAGGCATTAGCAGGGAGCTGGATTGGAAGTGGAGTACCCGGGACTTGAACCAGTGCCCATATGGGATACCAGAGCTGAAGATGGTGGCTTAACCTTCTGCACCATAGTGCTGGCATTACTGAGATTAAAAAAAAAAAAAAAAGATTTATTTTATTTATTGGAAAGGCAGGGTTACAGAGACAGAAGGAGAGACAGAGGGAGATCTTCCATCCACTGGTTCACTCCCCAAATGGCTACCATGGCCAAGGCTAGGCCACACCAAACCAAAAGTCTGGAATTCCATCCAGGTCTCCCATGGGGGTGGCTGGGGCCCAAGCACTTGAACCATCATCTGCTGCCTTCCCAGATGCATTAGCAGGGAGCTGGGTTAGAAGTGGAGCAACTGGGGCTCAATTGGCACTCACATGGGATGCCGACATCACAAGTGGGCAGCTGAACCCACTGTGCCACAATGCCAGCCCCGTGACTAAGATTATAGAAAATAAAATGGACGTAATTTCTTATACAGGATAAGGCTTGAGTTCCTTTCTTTCATACCCTTTTCCCCAGGGATACTCTGAGCAGTCCAGGTCCCACGCTAGGAGGCAAAAGAACGGACAGATCACCCAAGCCCAAAAGGAAGAGGAAGAGGGAGGGAAACAAAGCAACAGAAACAGGGCACAGAGAAAGGAAGAGAAAGCAATAAAGCACGCGTGGGGTCAGGGAGGAGACAGTGCAGAGGAGGCCTGAGACAGACAGCCTGATTCTAAGAACAGAAACAAACAGAACCCAGCCCGGACAAGTGGAAACTGTAGCTAGGTGAGCTGCTGGGCTCAGCCCAGTCCAACATCAGTTATGACAGGTGGCCTAGCAAGCTTTGGTTAACAGAGCTCCTGGTCAGCCACTTTCCAGCCTTCCCTGCAGGGCTCAGGGAGCGCTTCCTGCATGCTGGGCACTGTGCTTGTGTACAGAGCTGAGCAAGGACCAGCGGCTGGCTCTGCCTTCAGGGGTCCCCCAGCCTGGAGTGAAACAGACATAGGAAGGGCCAGCCTTGGGGTGCAGAGGGCTAAGCTGCCACCTGCGCCACTGGCATCCCGTATGAACGCAGCTCCTCTTCCGATCCAGCTCCCTGCTAATGTGTCTGGGAAGGCAGAAGAAGATGGCTCAAGTGCTTGGGCCCCTGCCACCCATGTGGGAGACCTGGATGGAGTTCCAGGATCCTGGCTGTGGCCTGGCCCAGCCCCAGCTGTTGGGGAATGAACCAGTGGATGGAAGACCTCTTTCTTTCTCTCTGTGACTGCAGGGACAGTTAGGAGGCGGTCTGGCCTGTCTGATGGAGCGGGGTGTTGGGAAGAGCTTTCCAGAAGTTGAGAGTGTCTTAGGGGATTCCTAGAGTCAGCGAGCGCAGGCTTGTGTTGGGGAAGAGGGAGTGTGCTGAGTGCAGGGACGACAGGAGCCAGGTGGAGGTGAGAAGCTGCAGATAGTTGGGGGTCGCTGGCACTTTGACAAGAGGCAGGGGACATCAGGATAGGAGGCTGGAGGGGGACTCCAGGCCTAATCCAGACTATCCAGGGTCCTATTAAAACTTGACTTGGGGCAGGTGTTGAGCGCAGTGGTTAAGGTGATGCTTGGGACACCCGCATCCCATATCAGAGTGCTCGTTTTGAGTCCTGTCTCCACTTCCCACCCAGCTTCCTGCTAATGGGTGCCCTGGGAGGCAACACGTGGGAGATCTGCATTGGGTTCCTGGCTCCTGGCTCCTGGCTCCTGGCTTCAGCCTGGCCCAGCCCTACCTGTTGTGGGGGCATTTGGGGAACTAAACCAGTGGAGGGAAGGTTTCTGTCTCTCTGCTTTTCAAATAAAATGAAAATCAATACATAAACTTCAAAAAAAAAAAAGTTGTTACTCACGGGCCAGGGAGATTTGGGTTGTTAAACAGGGAAGGGGCATGGTCAGATTTTAGCCACATTACTCTGCCTGCTGTGTGGACAGTGGGTTGGGGGAGCACTTCTTTGTGTGAGGTCTCTTGGGATTGAGCTGAGCGCCCAGCCCAGGGTCACCCCCATCCACACTTAGTGAACACCGCATGTACTGGGCATGGTTCCTAGCAGACCCGTCTGGAGTACCTCATCCCCCTCCCCGACAACCCTGAGACACAGTATTTTCATCAGCCGTGTTTAGACGGTGACATAACCAGGCACAGAGAGGTTGAGTTGTACGTCCCAGCGGCAGAGCAGGCATGGGTAAGCCTGCTGCGTGGCTCCCGTCAGCCTGCAGCCCCGCTCCATCCTCCCTGTGGGACCTGCTTCTTGCTCACAGAGGCAGAATTTGGCACTGGCAAACCTGCTTCAGGTTTACGAAATCCTTCATGGGGATGACATCACCCCAGCCTTGCAATAATGGTTTCTGTGAAGTAGGCATTATTATTCATAGCTCAAGAAAAACTGAGGAAGCTAAGGAAACCACTGATTTGTCAAAGGTCAGAGGGAGGTGGCAGAGGTCCTACTCAGCTTCCATCCTCCGACTCCGAGTCCAGTGCTCAGGCCCCACGCTATTAGTCAGTGGGTGCTGCAGCCAGCCTCATGCCCCACACGTCCCGTGGCTCAAAGACCAGGGCACTTTCCACTGCTCTCAACTGTCTCCTGCCTAGGAAAATGCTTTTCTGGACAGAGGGAGTCACAGACAGATGTGCTGTTGGCATCGACTTCCTGTCATTGGGCAACAGCTTCCGCCATCTGGCCCAGGTTGACGTCAGCTCTCTGGGTTTCTGCCAGGGTTCTCTGGCCCAGGAAGCAGACTTCCGGCCGGCCAGGCTCTGAGCCGTCCCCGGCCTCCTGGAGGAGTGGGTCTCTCAACTGGCCAAGAGAAGAACTGAGAAATCAGATCTCAAGGAAGATTGCTCTCTAGGAAATCAGTAAACGTGGAGGCGTGGAGATCGGGGACCCTGGGTAGGGGTGAGTAGGGAGCCCCTTCTTCTGGGGCTGGTGCATGTCTTGGGGCGAGAGGGGAGGATCAAGTGATCAGACTGGGAGGCTGAGATTTCATGACTCAACAGACTCGAGGAAAACTGAGAGTGGACCCTGAAGAAAGATAAGCAAAGCTAAGGAAATTTGGAAAAAGCCACACAAAAGATACAAACACGGAAGGTCAAACGCAGGCTGAGAATTGAATGTTGATCACAGTCCCCATGGGTTTTCCTGTGGACACTAACTCTTGAACAAATCAAGAACACAGAAATATAAGCAGCCGTTATGTTTTGCTTCTTTTAATTATAGAAGTGCACCGGCTGGGAGAAAACCTAAGTAATCGATAAACGAATCAAAACAGAAAGCTAAACTGTCCCTTGCCTCGCCCTCGCAGCCATCTCCAAATCACGTTTCCAGGCCCAGGTCATAAATGTTGTTAGTGACTTCAGTCATTCCTTCAGCAAACGTGCATCTTCTCTAACGGTCTCACCATGATCCTATGAGGTTGGAGCTACTGTGCTTTTATTATTATTATTTTTAAGATTTATGTTATTTATTTGAAAGGCAGAGTGACAGAGCGAGCGAGATCTTCCACTTGCCGGTTCGCTCCCCAAATGGCCACAATGGCTGGGGCTGGAGCCAAAAGGCTGAAGCCAGGAGCCTGGAACTCCATCTGGGCCTCTCAAGTGGGTGCAGGGGCCCAAGCACTTGGGCCATCTTCTGCTGCCTTCCCAGGTACATTAGCGGGGAGCTGGACTGGAAGTGGAGCAGCCGGGACTTGATCTGGTGCTAATCCTCTGTGCCATGCCAGCCCCAGGTTTAACAGTTTTTAAGTGTGCTGTTCAGTGTCATTAAGTACATACATATTGTTGTACAACTGTCACCAACACCCATCTCCAGAGCCTTTTCATTTTCCCCGACTGAAACTACCCAGGAAACAAGTCCTCTTCATTCCTCACCCTCCTCAGCCCCAGGCAACCACCACTCCACTTTCTCTGTGGATTCGACTACTCTACATACCTCACAGAAGGCACTTAACATAGTGTTCTCAAGGAACATCCATGTTGTAGCATGTATCCATTTGTTTTCGTTTTTGAAGTTGCATAATGTTTCATCGAGTGTATATCCCACATATTGTTTATCTATTCATCGATCAATGGACTCTTGGAAAGTTTGTTTGGGGGCTGGCATTGTGCTTTAGCAAGTTAAGCTGAACCCATATCGGAGTGCTGTTTTGAGTCCCAGCTGCTCTGCTTCTGCTCCAGCTTCCTGCTAATGTGCCTGGGAGGGCAGCAGAAAATGACTCAGGTGCCACCCGATGTGGGAGACCTGGATGGAGTTCCGGCTCCTGGCTTTGATCTGGCCCAACCCTGGCTCTTGTGGCCATTTGGGGAGTAGATCAGTGGATGCAAGATTCCTCTTCTTCTCCGCGTCTGTGCCTCTATTCGCTGTTACTCTGCCTTTCAAATAAATAAAACAAATCTTTAAAAATATATTAAAAAAGAACAAGCATATACTTTTTAAAAAAGATTTATTTATTTGAAAGGCGGAGTTACAGAGAGGCAGAGGCAGAGAGAGAGAGAGTCTTCCATCCACTGGTTCACCCCCTAATTGGCCGCAACGGCTGGAGCTGTGCTGATCTGAAGCCAGGAGTCAAGTGCTTCTTTTGGGTTTCCTACGGGGGTGCAGGGCCCCAAGGTTGGGCCATCTTCTACTGCTTTCCCAGGCCTTAGAGAGAGCTGAAAAAAAGGTGGAGCAATCAGGGCCTGATCTGATGCCCACATGGGATGCTGGCACTGCAGGGGGTGGCTTTACCCACTATGCCACAGTACCGACCCTGTTGCCACCTCTTTGCTTCAATAAAGTAACCTGTCTCTGTTGAGGTAGGCTCTGCCTCCCCCCCCCCCCCCCAGTCTCCTTTCTGGGAGTACGAAAGGCCAGAATCCCAAGCTATTCCAGACCTAGCATTGCGGATGCTTCCTCATTATGTGGAAAACCCACAGTGTACCCACCCTCTCATCCCTTGATGGACTTCTGCCTCGTTTCCCTCCCTAGCTATTTTGCATAACGCTGATATGAGCCGTTGCACAGGTTTTGTGTGGTCAGATGCTTTCATTTCTCTTGGGTATATACCTGGGAGTGGAACTGCTGGACCATACAGTAACCCACTGTCTAACCTTTTGGGGAACTGCCGGACTGTATTCCCAGAGTGGCTGCACGATCTGAACTTCCTACCAGCAGCATATTTCTCTCCGTCTGTCTGTGCTGTTTTAGCCACGCTCGTGTGTCTGCAGTGGTATAGTAATTTAGCTGTGTTTCTCCAATAGCTAATGATGGTAAGAATAGTTTTTAAGTGCTCATCGGCCATTTGGGTATCTTTGGAGAAATGTTTATTCAGATCCTTTGTCAACTTTTAAAATGATATCTCTTTATTATTGATTTGTCAAAGTTCTCTGTGTTTTCTAAACATAAGTCCCTTACCTGATGTATGATTTGCAAGTATTTTATTCCTTTGTGTGAGGTTTTTCTTTCTTTCTTGGTATCTTTTGATACACAAAAGTTTTATATTTTCTTTTTTTAAAAAAGATTTATTTATTTATTTGAAAGTCAGAGTTACACAGAGAGAGGAGAGGCAGAGAGAGAGAGAGAGGTCTTCCATCTGCTGGTTCACTCCCCAGTTGGCCTCAACAGCCAGAGCTGTGCCAGTCTGAAGCCTGGAACCAGGAGCTTCCTCTGGGTCTCCCACGTGGGTGCAGGGGCCCAAGGACTTGGGCCATCTTCTACTGCTTTCCCAGGCCATAGCAGAGAGCTGGATGGGAAGTGGAGCAGCCGGGACTTGAACCAGCGCCCATATAGGATGCTGACACTGTAGGTGGCGGCTTTACCCATTATGCCACAGTGCCAGTCCCTGAAGTTTTATATTTTCATGAAGTCTTTTTTATTATTTTTTTTAATTTGAGAGGAAAAGAGAGAGAGAATTCTCCTCTGGTTCATTTCCCAAATGCTTACACTATCTGGGGCTGGGGCTGGGCCTGGCCAAATCAGGGAGCTGGGGACTCACTCCAGGTCTGGCGCAGGGGTGGCAGGGACCCGGTCAGCTGAGCTGGAACCTGTTGTCTATCAGGCTGTACATCAACAGGAAGCTGGAATCAGGGCAGAGTCAGCACTCAAACCCACGCACTCCCTGTGGGTGGCAGATCTCCCAGTTGGCCTCTTAACTACTAGGCCTGATGCCTACCCCTGAAATCTTGTTGCCTGTGCATTTGGTGCCATAGCTAAGAAATCATCATCTAATTCGAGATTGTAAAGATTTGCACCTCAGTGGAGGATGGCCCAAGTACTTGGGCCCTGCACCCCATGGGAGACCAGGAGAAGTACCTGGCTCCTGCCATCGGATCAGCACGGTGTGCCGGCCATGGCAGCCATTGGAGGGTGAACCAACGGCAAAGGAAGACCTTTCTCTCTGTCTCTCTCTCACTGTCCACTCTGCCTGTCAAAAATAAATAAATTAATTAATTTAAAAAAAAAAGATTTGCACCTATGCTTTCCTATAACAATTTAATAGCTTTAGCTTTTGTCTTTGATCTGCTTTGAGCTAATTTTGGTCTATGGTGTGAGATAGGGGTCTGACTTCATATCTGGTCGTCTCTGCCTTCACTCATCCATGTACAGGTGAACAGCTTGTGTGCTCCATTAGAAAAAGGGCTGTGCTTGGTTTTGCTCGCCAATCTTTCCCAGAATCCACTTAGTTCTATACTGGACGCATACAAGAGGCTAAATGCAGGCTGGGTGAACAAACACAGGCGTGATGGAGGTCCAGAGAGGCTCAACAACTTGGCAAAGGTCACTCAGCGGACATGGCTCAAGCTCAGGTCTTTCCACTTGTTTCTCATTAAGAGTTTTTTGTAGTTCTAAATTTCTGAAACTTTCTTGGTTGGCAAAAGCCTTTGCTACAAGAAACCAGATTTCCCTAAAATTTCTTTTGCTTCCTCTTTGTGTATCACTCTGATACTGTTTGTAAAAAAGCAACTTCTCAAATTGAGTGGCTTGTGCTGCTTCTGCCTCCGGCTCCTCTACACCTGCTCCAGCCACACAAAGATTCCACTTCCTTCTATGGGGGTTTTGTAGTTGGAAAGTTCTAGATATCTGACCATAGCCTCCTGTTGCACAGTGGTACCATAAGCTCTCATGAGTGTTTAGTGCAACCATTTATTAAGCATGTGGTGTGTTGTGGAAGGCGTCTTGCAAACGGGCAAAGTTTTATGCTCTCTGCTCTGTGTGAAAGGCCACCTCGGTGAAGCCTTGCTCTGGCCCTGAAGTGGGGTTCCCTTTTTGGACTATGAGTTCTGGTCATCTCGGGGGAGAATGGAGCCAGGTGGCGGAAACTCCAACAACAAAGTTCTGATGGACTCTCCTTCTGGAAGTGAGGACGAGTGAGAGTCTTGCAGGAAAAAAAGAGCTGTGTTTCTCAAGGGGTCCAAAATTGAAGCTGAACCGGGAGCGAGTTAGGTTGATTCACCCGCCCCCATATTGGCAGGGTTGCGTTTGGGCTCCCCCTGTTGGAACCTTTGGCAAATAATTCTTTACATCACAAGAAAACTGGGGGTGGGGCGAAAGGAAGAACATTTATTGAAAGCTGGTTCCGGTTACATATTAGGCATTTTATTTAGGCATCTCATTTTCATTTTAAAGCAATACCACAGGTGGGTTCTCTCACTCCTGTTTTGCAGAGTTGGATGCTAAAACTTTTCCAAGTCATGCAAGGATTTGAACCCTGGGCTTTCCATTTCCTTCCTAGTGCCCTGAGCCATTGGGCAGAAATGGTGCCTGGGGGCCCCATGGAGTTCTGGTGATCCTCCTGACTGTGGGGTGCTGGGGCAGGCTGATAGCAGCCAGAGAGGGCGATCGTTAAATATTTAGAAAACCATTGGTGGTTAGAGAGCTACCCCGGGAGGGAGTATTTACACCATGGAAATTGGCAGCCACTGCAAGCTAGAGATCCTCGTGTGCCCCACAAGCTGGATGCCCGGTCCATCAGTGTCACGAACTCACCTCTGAGGTGCTAGATGCCCTGAACAGAGCACAACCTTGGGAGAGTGAGAGCTGGAGAGGTGCCCGGTGCCCGGTGGTCACTGACCGACAGCTGCAGACAGAAGAAGGGGAGACACATCTTCTGGAAAATGGGGAGGTTCGTGCATCTGGGAGAGGGAGGGCTGGTTACTCACAAGTGGACACAGGGACAATTTTTTTTTAATTGACTGATTGGTTTGAGAGGTAGTGAGACATACAGAGAGATACAGAGAGATCTCCCATCCACGGGTTCATCCTCCAAATGCCTGCAATGCCAGGGCTGGGCCGGGACTGCAGCTGGGAGTTGAGACCTGAATCCAGGTCTCCCATGTATGCGGCTGGGACCCAAGCACCTGCTGCCTCCTGAAGCCAGGAGCCAGGTGCTTCCTCCTGGTCTCCCATGTGGGTGCAGGGCCCAAGGACTTGGGCCATCCTCCCTTGCCTTCCTGGGCCACAGCAGAGAGCTGGACTGGAAGAGGAGCAACCGGGACAGAATCTGGCACCCCAGCTAGGACTAGAACCCTGGTGTGCTGGTGCCGCAGGTGGAAGATTAGCCAAGTGAGCCGTGGCATGGTCCTCTTTTTTAAAGATGTATTTATTTGCTTGAAAGGCAGAGTTACAGAGAGGCAGAGGAAGACAGTTTTCCAACTGCTGGCTCACTCCCCAATTTGCTGCAATGGCTGGAGCTGTGCTGATCCAAAGCCAGGAGCAAGGAGCTTCTTCCAGGTCTCCCACATGGGTGCAGGGGCCCAAGGACTTGGGCCGTCTTCTACTGTTTTCCCAGGCCATACCAGAGAGCTGGATCAGAAGTGGAGCAGCCAGGTCTCAAACCCATGCCTATATGGGATGCCGGCACTGCAGGCAGTGGCTTTACCTGCTATGCCACAGCACGGTCCCCATGAGTCTGTTTAGAGAAGGCTACAAACCCACCACCCACCCCTGCCGGCTCCAGGCTCCCTTTCTGAGCTCAGGTCCACCCTCACCTGTCTGTGTCTGCCTGGATTTCCGTCTCTTTCAGAGACCACTGTTACTCACAGGGGTGTGACCCACCCCTACGGGGTCCGGGCAGGAGAGCCACCATCTCCAGGTAACACCCACACAGTGAGAAGTGAGAGGGGTGTGGTCATTTGTTCCAGGTACTGTTGACCCTCTTTGAGGCTCACCCTAGAGCAAGAGATTGTGATCAAAGCGAAACCCGCCTTGCACGGCAGGATCCGTGGGACTGCTGAGACATTTAGGATTGATGAGTCTTTGGCAGGGCAGGCTTCCACCTGCTGGTACTGCTCCCGCCTAAGGTGGGTGGGCGGGGACCTCACGGGAAAGGCGGACCCTGGAGTCTGTGCAATCAGAGGGAGGCCTGACCTCACAGGCTGCCGGTTTCTGCTAAGCAGAGGCTAGCACTGGGTGGCCCAGAAACTGACGATCAGCTGAATACTGGCTGGTCACCAGCCCTGCACCAGCTTGCCTAATTTGAGAAAGCCTGCTCCTATTGCTTGTGCATGTGAACTTGCTAGGCAAGGCTGCTTTAAGTATCTCGGGGGTGTCAGGAGCGGTGCAAGATGCTGGGTGCAGCCATGAACAGGACAGGTCATGTTGGCTCCACGGCACGCTATGAAGGAAAGGGAGGACGTTTAGTGAGGCATCTCATTTAGTCCAGGCTGACAAGGAGTGCATGGGGAAGAGGCTCTCTCAGGGATCAGCACTCTTTTCAGGGAGTGTCTGCTGTGTGCACTGGTGCCCGTGGCTGGTGTGGAGTGCGCTCCAATACACGTGGTTGAAAGAATAAAGGATCAGGGACGGCACTGTGGTGTAGTGGGTAAAGCCGCCGCCTGCAGCGCCAGCATCCCATATGGGTGCTGGTTCGAGTCCCGGTTGCTCCACTTCCCATCCAGCTCTCTGCTATGGCCCGGGAAAGCAGTAGAAGACGGCCCAAGTCCTTGGGCCCCTGCACCCACGTGGGAGACCTGAAAGAAGCTCCTGGCTCCTGGCTTCGGATTGGTGCAGTTCACTCATTGGGAGTGAACCAATGGATGGAAGATCTCTCTCTCTCTCTCTCTCTCTCTCTCTCTCTCTCTGCCTCTCTGTGTAACTCTGACTTTCAAATAAATAAATAAATCTTTAAAAAAAGAATAAAGGATCCTAGCTGAAGAGGGTGTGTAGGTGTGTGTGGGCATGGTGTAGTTCAGGTTGGCAAAACAGCTTTTGTAAAACTACTGAAGTTCTAATTAATGGTAGGTGAGAGAGTGACACCAGTGAGATGTGTCTTATTCCTATGGCAATCTGACACAGATTCCTTCCCTCTTAGGTCTAAAACGAGTTTACCACTTATTGGCTACAAGAGCAGTAAGTTGTCTGCCTTTCCTTTGCCTCTTTTTTCTATACATTCTACATGAATAACAATATACATATATATAAATCAAAATCTAAATGATATTTGGGAGACATAAATTGGAATACATTATTTGAGATATATTTTTTAAAGATGTGTTTATTTATTTGAAAGAGTTACAGGGGGAGAGGGAGAGAGAGAGAGAGAGATCTTCCATCCACAGGTTCACTCTCCAAAGGGCCAGAGAGAGAGAGAGATCTTCCATCCACAGGTTCACTCTCCAAAGGGCCACAATGGCTGGAGCTGGGCTGGTCTGAAGCCAGGAGCTTCTTCCAGTCTCCCACGTGAGTGCAGGAGCCTAAGGACTCAGGCCATCCTCCACTGCTCTCTGAGGTCATTAGCAGGGAGCTGGATCGAAAGTGAAGCAGCTAGGACTTGAGCTGGTGTCCATATGGGAGGCCAGCGCCGCAGGTGGCGGCTTTCCCCATTACACCACAACGCTGGCCCCTAACTGAAATAGTATAGTCAATACTTGATAACCATTACTATTATTTATGCGCACCAAGCTTATATCCAAAAGGACTTTGATAGATAGAAAATACACACAAAGGATAAATCTGGGTATCACTAAACAAGAGTAAAATAATAAATTGAGTAGGAAGTGGGAAGGGTGCAGGTGGCCCAAGGCAATGTCTACATAGAGAGAGAAAGGGATGTGGAGGAGGAGCCCAGAGCCTTCGCTGGTGCAGAGGGTCCTCGCGCATGGCCTGCTGGGTGCCTTTAGGCAGCCCCCGCCCCTTGGTCTTGTCCAACCAGCAAGGCGGTCTTTTTATTTTCCCCAGGGAGCTCAGAATCTTTGAGAGCCCCACATCCGTCTGTATCAAGCTGGAGGAGACGTACTTAGTGCTGGGGCAGCTGTTGTGTGCTCACTAGGAGGCCATGCTCCAGGGGAGGAGAGACCCCTGTCTGACCTGTAACAAAAAGCACCAGAGGTCTTGGTAAGTCTCAGATTAGAGGAAGCATAAACACTTCTCCAGGACTTGGGGGGCCTTCCTCAATTGTGTTTATGTAGAGCAGCCGCTGCTTCCTGTTTGCGTTTTCCTACCGCAAGTTAACCACCACTGTGCTACTTTCACTGCTGGGAACGCCGCTGCAACAGCTTCTCAAATCTTTTTTGGGTATCTGCCTTTATTGTGAATTAACAGAGCCGATCAAAATGCCAGGCTCCCCCCTCCCCACCCCTAATTTCTAATTCCTACTTTCATTACTTCTATTGCCAAGTGTCAACAATGACTTCCTTTCTGGGCAATTTTCACAAAGCAACAAAGTGTTTTCAAAAGTCCTTTCCCATAGGTTCCTGCCCACGCGACCACCTGCTGAGAAACACAGGCAGTTTGGGGAAACTGGGTGGTCTCCTCCCAACAACCACAACCCGCAGACGCCTGGTCTACCATGGATCACGCCTGCGGCTCAGGACAAAGGGGCGTTCTCACCAGGCAGGAGTCTTCACGGCCAAGCGAGGCGAGTGGAAGTGTCAGATCTGCAGGTGCCACGCGCACTGTCCTCAATACCCCTCCAGCAAGGAGACACAGCCACAGTAGTACAGCCACGACCCTGCTGTTCCTCCATGGAGGTGATTCTACATAGGACTGGGGGCTGCTACAGAGTTAAGTCTCATTGTTAATTTTATGGTTTTAGGGTGTGTGTATGCGTTCGTGCTCTTGCACCTTGGTCAAGTCGATGCACACAACTCACGCACGGGCTTCCGGATAGGAGCAGCAGCTGGTTGGACACAGCTGCAGGAAGGCTTGTGCCGCTTATTACCGCACAGAATGGTAGAAGACACAATGATCCATACCTTTTTTTTTTTTTTTTAAAGATTTTATTTATTTATTTGAAACTCAGAGAGAGATCTTCCATCTGCTGATTCACTCCCCAAATGGCTGCAACGGCCAGGGTTGGGCCAGGCTGAAGCCAGGAGCCTGGAGCTTCACCTGAGTCTCCCACGTGGGTGGCAGGGTGAGGCCATATTCAGCCGCCTTCTCAGACCATTAGCAGGAGCTGGGTGGGAAACGGAGCAGCCGGACATGAATGAGCCGGGATGCGGCACTGCAGGTGAAGCTATACTTTACTAGTGATAAGGGAGCTGGGGTGGAACTGGTGCTGTACCATTCCTTTGCTGTCACTGAGGAATAGCCCCCACCCCCACCTCCCACCACCCCACCCACGGCATCTTGTTGTTCTTATCATAAGGGTTTGTGACAGCCCTTAGACTTTATCTGCAGAGTGGCCTCTTGGGCGCACAGATGGCAGCTTCCTTCCGAGACACCAGGAGACTCAAGATGGCACCACTGTGGCTTGCTGTGGCACAGATGAAAGAACCTCTGTTCATTGTGTTCTGAGGTCTTTGGCCCTCTGGTGACCTCTGACCTCTGACCTTGGCACCTTTGCTAGGCTTGTATGACCTTTCAGTTGTTGTGTATGACTGTCAGTGTGTGAAATAGGAAACAGCTAAGAGACGTGCTCCTGAGACGTGTCGGCGAGACTGTCCTTGAGAGACGGAAGCGAGCAGCCAGTACCTAGTAGGCCTTTGAGGGTATCATTTTTTTTTAAAAGATTCATTTATTTTACTTGAAAGTCATAGTTACACAGAGAGAGAAGAAGGGGCAGAGAGAGAGAGAGAGAGGTCTTCCATCCACTGGTTCACTCCCCAATTGGCTGCAATGGCCGCAGCTGCACCAATCCGAAGCCAGGAGCCAGGAGCTTCTTTCAGGTCTCCCATGTGGGTGCAGGGGCCCAAGGACTTGGACCATCTTCTACTGCTTTCCCAGGCCACAGCAGAGAGCTGGATCGGAAGTGGAGCAGCCAGGATATGCCCATATGGGGATGCCGGTACCTCAGGCGGTGGCTTTACCCGCTACATCACAGCGGCGGCCTCTTTGAGGGTATCATTTTTAGGATAATTATTTTTGAATTTTTGAAGTCCACATACAGTTTTTGTCATAATACACAATTTCGTATTGTATTATTAAACTTTTACTTGAAAGAGAGACAGATATTTCATCCACTAGTTCATATCCCAAATGTTTGTAACAGCCAGGGCTGGGCCAGGCGGAAGCCAGGAGCCAGGACCTCCGTCTCATGTGGGTGGCAGAGACCCAAGTGCTTGCCCCATCATCTGCTGCCTCCCATGATGGATAGACTCAAATCCATACACTCTTGGGATCGGCACTGTGTGTGGTATATCGGATAAAGCAGCTGCTTGCAGTGCCAGCATCCCATATGGGCGCCGGTTTGAGTCCTGGCTGTTCCACTTCCGATCCAGCTCTCTGCTGTGGTCTGGGAAAGCAGTGGAAGATGGCCCAAGTCCTTGGGCCCCTGCACTCGCACGGGAGACCTGGAAGAAGCTCCTGGCTCCTGGCTTTGGATCGGCACAGCTCAGACCATTGTGGCCAATTGGGGAGTGAACCAGTGGATGGAGGACCTCTCTCTCTTTCTCTGCCTCTCCTTCTCTCTCTGTGTAACTATGACTTTCAAATAAGTAAATAAGATCTTAAAAAAAAAATCCATGCACTCTGATGCAGGATGTGAGCCTGCAAGGCAGTGGCTTAACCCCCTGTACCACAAAGCCTGTTCATGTTGAGAGTATTAAATGTGACAATCTATTCCTCATTACACATCAGGGGATTCACACAGGGGAGAAACCCAGAAAACATCTTCCCGGAATCCAAGCATAACAGGCAACATGGAATTCACACATGAGAAACCTTTGGAAAGCAAGGAATGTGAAAAACAAAACAAAACAAAGCGAACAACAAAATAGCTTTTGTCAGAAGTGAGACCTCAACAGGCATCAGAGGAACCGTGGGAGGCAAAAACCCCAGTGATGTAACGGATGGAAAAGGTCCGTTTGCAGAAGTTCCGTCTTCAGCCTGAATCCAAGGATTCACAGCTGAGACACGTGTGTGCGGGCAAGCCTTCTACCGCCAATCATTCTCGCTGTCCACCAAAGAGCTCACACGGGGGAAAAACCCAACGAATGTAATGCAAGTGGAGACACCTTGTACTAGAAAGGCACGCTGCCACCACAGCAACATGACACAGAGGAAACCCTGGGAGCGTGATGGATGTGGAAACAGCCCTTGCTGGAGGTCATGCCTCAGCAGGTGCCTAGAGGATTCACACGGGGCAGCCATGCTGTGCGACACAGCCTAGCCGGGCGTGTCGATCAGGATCTGCTTTCTTCTCTCTGGCAAACAAGCTGCATTTTTGTCCTCGCCTTACTGTAAGTGGGGCAATGAAGCTGAGCTCTCTGCTGTCAGGCGTGAATTTTGTTAACAAATAATTATTCGGTCTATAACACTCAAAAATAAATAAATAAATGGGATAAAGCATGCAAAGGCCTAGCCCAGCACCTGGCACATGGGAGAACTCAGTACAGACTAGCGTGTGAAGGGAAGGGGTATTTGGCACTTGGCATGCTTGCATCCCCAATCACAGTGCTTGAGCTGGAGTCCCCGCTACTCTGCCTCCAGATTCCTGCTAATGTGCACCCCTGGGAGGCAGCAGACTCAAGTACTTGGGTCCCTGCCACCCATGGGAGACACCCATGTGAGTGCAGGGGCCCAAGGACTTAGGCCATCTTCCACTGCTCTCCCAGGCCACAGCAGAGAGCTGGATGGGAAGTGGAGCAGCTGGGACTCGAAGTGGCGCCCCTATGGGATGCTGGCTTGCAGGCGGCCGCTTTATACCACAGCGCCAACCCCTAATTTCTAGATCTTCTGACTTAAGAGCATTCAGGTTGTGGAGCAGGATTTACCTTTGTTTGAAACAGAGACCCATGCATGGTGCAGATTGACAGCAGGCCACTTGGTGGTGGTATTTGGCGAAGCGTCCCAACCCCCTCTCTTTCAGGATCACAGACCCAATTGGGAGCAGAAATATCAGTCACACGAGCAGATCTCACTCATCCGGGGAGGTCCTGGACGATGCCAGAATCTGGGCTCCAGATGGGCAGACGCTGGAACCGCTGGAGAGACGCGATCCCGGCCCCGCCCCTCGGGCGGGCGGCTGAGTGCCCCCTGCACTCCTGGGTCTCTCCTCCGTGCTGGGTTAGCCCCGTGTACCCGGGGATGGGGAGAGGTGGCCGGGACAAGGAAGAGCCTTTTAGAGAGAGGGAGAGAAGCAGCCCTGCGGTCTGGGGCCTTGAAGTGGTCTTTACTTAACATGGCCAAGATTCCTAGGTTCAGGTCAGTGGGAAATCTAGCCTGGAATCTGGGATTTTTTTGTTTGTTTTTCAGATTCCCCCAAATATCTTACGTGGTCAAAACAAGTTGGCTTTTATGAATTAGGATTGAAATAAAGTCCCTATGTTTATTGGTTGACATTTTTATTTTGTCTCCTTTAATGTCTAAGTTCTCTAGCTCATTCTTTTTGTCTTTTGCAATACATTTGTGGAAGAAAAAAAAATTTTTTTTGATCCAATACAGCTTCCCAGCATGGGTTTTGCTGATTGGACTGAAAAGCCGCTCTGTCACACATTCTTCTGTCCACTGCCTTCCTTGAAAATGGTGATTTCACTTGGGCACAGTGTTTGCCTTTTTTTTTTTTTTTTTTTAATAATATGCATTTCTGGGGCCAGCGCTGTTGTGTAGCAGGTAAGGCTGCTGCCTGCAGTGCCAGCATCCCATGTGGGTGCTGATTCGCGTCCCAGCTGCTCCACTTCCGATCCAGCTCTCTGCTATGGCCTGGGAAAGCACCTGCACCCGAGTGGAGACCCAGAGGAAGCTCCTGGCTTCAGACGGGTGCAGCTCTGGCCGTTGCAGCCAATTGGGGAGTGAACCAGCTGATGGAAGGCCTCTCTCTCTCTCTCTGCCTCTCCTTCTCTCTGTGTGTAGCTCTGCCTTTCAAATAAATAAATCTTAAAAAAAATATGCATTTCCCATGACCTTTTTTTTAAAAAAAATTTATTTATATATTTGAAAGGCAGAATTACAGAGAAGCAGAGGCAAAGAGAGAGAGAGTGAGGTCTTCCATCTGCCAGTTCACTGCCCAGCTGGCTGCAACGGCTGGAGCTGGGCTGATGCAAAGGAACTTCTTCCAGGGCTCCCACGTGGGTGCAGGGGCCCAAGCACTTGGGTCATCTTCACTGCTTTCCCTAGTGCATTTGCAGGGAGCTGGATCAGAAGTGGAGCGGCTGGGACTCGAACCGGTTGCCATATGGGATGCTGGCACTGCAGGCGGCGGCTTTACCCGCTACACCACAGCGCTGGCCCCTCTGTGCTTTTGCAGCACTGCTTCTCAGCAAGCGTGTGAACTTCCTACAGGAAGCACAAAAGACCAGGGCTTGTGTTTCCTTAGATGATGCTCGAAGTCATTGTGACCATGGACGAATCTGGATCTCATTAGGAGCTGCAGAGTGGTGACGCAGAACCCTGTCACCCCTTTCCCCTTTACTAGCTGAACCACGTCTGCGAGAGAAAGTGTGCTGCCCACCATGGGGAGGTTACGGTGCCCCTGGGCAGGGCAGCATTAGTGTTTGGTTTCCCGGTGTGACCATTTTTCCGATTGCTGGGTTGCCCACCTAAATTCTGCTAAAAGTGACCATTTTTAAAAAAGATTTATTGATTTACTTGCAAGTCAGAGTTACACAGAGAGAAAAGAGGCAGAGAGAGAGAGAGAAAGAGAGAAATCTTCCATCTGCTGGTTCACTCCCCAATTGGCTGCAACAGCCGGAGCTACACTGATCCAAAGCAAGGAGCCAGGGACTTCCTCTGGGTTTCTCACGCGAGTGCAGGGGCCCAAGGATTTGGGCCATCCTCCACTGCTTTCCCAGGCCATAGCAGAGTGCTGGATCAGAAGTAGAGCAGCTGGGTCTAGAACCAGCGCCCATATGGGATGCTGGTGCTTCAGGCCAGGGTACTAACCCACTGCGCCACAGCGCCAGCCCCCAAAAGTGACCATTTTAAAAACATTGTTATGAGATCACGGATTTAAACATACCTGATGCACTTCAGGCCATTGTAGTCATTCCTGTCATCAGTCCTCAAATTGAACCACCTTGGGTAAGGGAGAGTCCCTTCACCCCCTTTTGAGGTATTCCTAAGAGACTGATAGCAGCCACCGCCACTGCCGCCGCTGCCGCCTCCTCCTCCTCCTCCTCCTCCTCCTCTTCTTCTTCTACCTCTTCTAACATGTTAACTTCTGAGACATTTTATTTTATTTCAAAGGCAGAAGGGGTGGGGAGGACTCTCCCATGCCCTGGTTCACTCCCCAAATGGCCGCAACAGCTGAAGCTGGGCCAGGTTGAAGCCAGGAGCCTGGAGCTCCATCCAGGTCTCCCATGTAGGTGGCAAGGACTAAGGACTCAAGCCCTGAGCCACTGTCTGCAGCCTCCCAGCTGCTTTAGCAAAACGCTGCATCAGACATGGAGTAGCCGAGGCTCTAAACAGGCTTTCTGACATGGGATGTGGGTGTCCCAGGCGGCGGCTTAACCCGTTGGGCCACAATGCTTTCTTTATTCCCTTTTTTATTCTTTGTAATACTTCCTGTCTAATTTCAGCCAACTCTCTCTTCCTAGACATTTGAGTTCTTTCTAGTCTTTTGATATTACCAACAGGGCTGCAGTAAATAACCTTAAGCGAGTAATTTTCCATATTTTTGGCAGTATTTTTTTTTTTGACTAGGTTCCTAGAAGTGGCATTGCAGGCTTGAAGAGGAAATGCGTATTTAACTTGGTCAGAGATTGCCATCCCAATTCCCCTCCACGGGGCTTGCCTCAGTCTGCATGCTCACCAACAATGCACAGGTGTGTCTGTTTCTCTGCCGCTTTGCCAACTAAGCGTGTTGACAAGTTTTGGGATTTTTGCCAATCTGATAGGTAAAACAGGCTCCTTTGGTACAGTTCTGATGCATATTTTTCTTATTAGAAACAAGGTTGTGGTAGCTTTGGGATCCACAAGGAGGGAAGGCCTATGCTTCCGGGAATGGAGAGTCCCTACCCGTACTTCCAGGGAAGAAAAGTCCATGTCAAGGTCCCTGCGGGTGCCTAAAGGTCAACCAATGAGGATCAGACCTGCCTCAACCTTTAACCCTGATGCCCTGAATCTATAAAAGGAGCCCTCCCAATCGCTGACGCGCGACTTCCCTGGCCCCCCTGCTCTGTTGCTCTGTTGGGACCGCGGAACCTCGCCAGGGAGCGGAACCCCAATAAAAGCCTGTGAATTAATTGATTCGTCTGCCTGGGAAGATTTGTTACGCACTGGACACCTTGCAGGTTGAACAGCTTTTCTACATGCTATGTGGCCCTTTTTTTTTTTTTTTTTTGTAAGCTGTTTGTCTCTCTTGCCCAGTTTTTAAATTCAGTTGGTTCTTTCTCGCTCCTTGTAGACACCTTCTATATTGAGGGTGTTAACCATTTGTCTGGGATAGGTTTGCTGTTTGTTATTTTACTTTGCTTTCCTGACTAAAGCTGTTGCTTTTACATCTTGATGCAGTCAGATTTATCACTGCTTCCCCTGATCTACAGCTGGACTTTTTTTTTTTTAAGGGAAAAGGTTTATTGGGGAAAACCCAGCAGACTGGAGGCAAGGGATGAAGAAGGAAAAAGAGGAGTGAA